TTTTAATAATTTAAATAAGCAGCATTGACAATCAACGCTGAAAAAAGCTTGTAAATTAAAAATCAATTTTTCTATCAAATCAACCACAATTACTTTATACTTTGAGATGTATCCATTGCATAATACAAATATCTGTTTGTTTCCCAAAAAGCAATAATTTTTTTCATTAAAGCTACTTAAAATGAAGCGTAAAACTCAGACCAACAGCAAAAATGTTATTATGGTGAAACCAAAAAGTAGATTTTTGAAACTTTTGGTTTAATTGTTATTAATTTAATATTGTTGCGGATCGTTGATACCTGTATTATATGTGACTCGCAAGTTTTTACGTCAGAATTTAAAACAAATCCGGAAAGTTATCTTAATTTTGCTTCTTAATTTAATTATAAATTTTTCATAAAATTGCATGTTAAATAGTTACGCATAAACATTTTTTTTACTCGTCAATGTTCATTAATTAATAGATTTACTCACAATCAAGTATTCAATTGTTTTTCCATAATTTGTCTACAATTGTTTAAACAATTTGTGGTAAGCAACAAATTTCCCGGTTATCGTTGAATAATTCAATTTACTAAACCAAATGCTTTGCTTTTGTTTACTCGTGCTCAAGTATTCAATTTCACCTGATTTTTGAAGAAACAATATTTCCGTAAATTGTCAACGATTGATTGAACAATTCTTGGTAAGCCACTAATTTTTTGTCGTTTAACGATTGACTAATAAAAAACAAATGCGACTTCATAATGCTTCCAACAGAATTCAAATCGCTGAAAATTTAATTCAATATCAACGTTAAAGAAAATTTAGCTGTAAACCTTTGATTTTGATAAGCTGCGCATTCTGGAACTACTTTTACCGGCGGAGCGCGTATGCTTCTCAAATCAGTGCGAACTGGCCAAGGCCAATAGCGTGGCCAGTCTTGTCGTAGCTTTCGAACGGATGGTTGATACGGGCGCGTTGAAATTCACGACTTTTGGCGGTTATTTGTGAGAAAGTGATTAAAACGGTTTTAGCTTGGTAAGCTATTGAACTTTTACCTATTACATAATTCTTTAACATTTGCTTTAGGGCTACTTAACTATTTCCCTCTTTTTCATCTAAGTTTTGCTTTAATTGTGCTTTTATACTTATTATCCCTGTTAACGAATGATTTCTTTTATTCTAAGAGATCGATGAACATATTTGTTTATTTCCCAACATTAAATAGAGCTTTTACTCATCATTACTCTCCAAACGACCAGTTTGTTTGATATTTTAGGGCACATTTCGTCAGCATTAATGTTTCCCGCTTTTTTTAACCGCCATTCGTTTTGGTGGTAGTTATTGCCTTAACTACAACAACTAGCACTGCAGGTCCGGATCTAGAAAATTGCAAATATTTACAGTTTAATCAGAAACAATTTATCTGTTTATTTTCAAATTTTAAACTTAATTTCGTTATTAGCAAGTTTGCTTCGATAGGAGTGCATTAACTTTTGTTTTTATGTTTCTATATTTTAGACATTGCTATTGTTAATATTGTAATTTTTTTATATTCTTGCTGAATTTCCCTAAAATTTTATAATTCAACTTCCTGTGTTTTATTTTTAGTTATATCCTTGTCCCAAATTGCTTCTCAGATCAAATAATTTTTTTATGTTTTTCACGTAGTGTCCAGTGGAAGCAGCGCAGTTTAGGACGTTTGAAGTGGCAACAGTAACGTGTATATTCCGGTAAGTTGCATGCATTTTTTCCACCTGATTATCCATTGTCGTTATGAAACATATTTCGTTCTATTCAAACATGAACTTGCAAATCTTTATCTTACAAATTTACAAAAATCTCAAAAAAAATCTTAACTTTATTTCTTTATTTAATTAATTATTTCAGTTCTACAAGTTACAAATTTTAGTTATCACATTGTTATCCCTAATTTTTCGTTCCCAAAAAGTACTGTGAAACTATTCAAAATTGCTGTTTAATTTCGTATTTGAAACGGAACTTATATTTTATTGAATCATATTAAGAAAACACTTTCATTTATAATGATTAAATGTTACTATTCCAATTGAAACAGGTATCATTTATTTTTTTTG